CTCGCTTCTTCCCCTCCTCATTGCCCCCACCTTCCCTGCTTTACTGTTTTTCCCTAGTGGTTACCAGCGTCTAACATTTTTACGTATCTGTTTCCTTGCGTCTCACGCTAGAACGTAAGCTCCATGAGGGCAAGAATTTTTCTTGGTTACCGTTGTATCTTGAGCTCGAGTGTCCGGGCGGGACAAAGCAGGCTGTTGATAAATACTCCCAGGGTGGAAGAAATAATTAAGAAGTGGTGAGAAGCAGTCTTAGACTCAACTTTGTCCTCAGTTAGACTTCGTGTCACCGGTTGAGGATCCTTGTGTGTCTTTGCTGTGTTACGATCGGGTCCTTTTGTTCTGTTTACCCCCCGTTAATCACATGTCTTGTACAGTCCGTCATATCTGTAGTTTGAATTCTGTTCCCTTTTTATCAGAAATTATAGTAATTTATGAAGTAAATTACAGGTGGTACAGATACACGTTAAATAATATCTTGCGATACGTGCTGTTCCTTTTATTTTAAGGAGAATCGCAAGCACACATTTCTGAGTCACATGTTCTGCCGGGAAGAATTACAAACACCATGCTCTCTTGAAGCATTTTGTAATTATATTAAAATGACATTTGAGGAAGCTGGGAAACCTTTTATTTATTTTGTTTTTGCTTGTTTATTTATTTTTGAGAGAGAGAGAGAGAGAGCAGGGGAAGAGCAGAGGGAGAGGGGGTGGGGACGGAGAATCCCAAGCAGGCACCACGCTGACAGAGGAGAGCCCGATGCGGGGCTCGAACGCACAAACTGTGAGATCATGACCTGAGCCAAAGTCAGACACTTAATGGACTGAGCCACCCAGGCGCCCCAGGAAACTGGGAAACCTTTTAGAATTCCAGGACGCGTATCGGTAGGCAAATGCGTATTTGCGGTGTTTTAATATTTACCGTTATTTGGAGTGACCGCACATGGTGATGTTGAGACGCTGTGACTTTAAAAATTATTCGGATGATATTGGCTATTTAGTTGTTTGGCCTCAGGTCTTCATGTTTCTGGATTTTCATAACTGATATCTTTTACGTTTTAACATTTACTCTCCACGGTTCCCCTCGGGAATGTTTTACTCCAGACCAGGAGGCTGGAGGCGTTGGGGCTGGAGAGTCAACCCGACTGTCCGGGCTGTCAGCACAGAGCCCGACGCGGGGCTCGAACCCACGAACCGCGAGATCATGACCTGAGCCGGAATCGGACGCTTAACCGGCTGATTCTTTAACTTCCATGCAAGGAGGCCGGGTCAACGTGTGAACTTCTTCATGGGCAGTCAGCTGTGGCCAAGGAGCTCCTTGAGATGGAACGCTGATGACCAATGTGTCTCCTTTCGAGCTTTCCCTTTTGGCTCCCCTCTTACTGGTTTTTAAAGTTTATTGTAAGAGAGAGAGCGAGAGCAAGTGGGGGGAGGGACAGAGAGAGAGAGAGAGAGAGAGAGAGAATCCCAAACATGCTCCGCACGGTCAGTGCAGAGCCCAATTCAGGGCTCGAACTCCTGAACCGTGAGATCGTGACCTGAGCCCAAATCTAGAGCTGGACGCTTAACCGACTGAGCCACCCGGGCGTCCCTCCCCCAACTCTTATTAGTGAGTGATCTTGTTTGTTTTTGAAAAGGGGACTCTTAAAAACACGGCAAAATGGGATCTTTTCCCCTTTCTGGTGACGGCAGCGGTTGGCAGAAGGAGCAGAACAGAGCTGGGACTCGCATCCAGGTCTGCTGGTGTCACATCTAGGGGCCTTTGACATAGCGGCGACATCCTATCTGCCCAAAGGGATGATTGAGAATTTACAGGATTACTGCCGGATCTCATTACTGCCCAGAGCGTGTTTCCAAGTTCGGTTTGGAATGCTACTGGAAAATTATTTCTCCTCTAGATTTTGCTTCGTTTGAGTAGACGAGTCTCTCGCGAGAGTCTGCACGGTAAAAAATAGCTCCTTATGCAAAAGACGTTTCCTTCCTATTTTGTCAAGATGTGAAAGGAAGGTAGTAAGAAGGAAGGAAGTAGAGAGAGGGATGGTCGTCTTGGGGGGGGCGTTTCAGAGTGAGCCAGCTAGTCGATCTTTAAGTCTTAAGGTCCTTGGTTGTAAAATAGGATACTTGCTGTTCGTGTGTTTAGGAGAAAAGATGGGTTTTATGCCGCCCTGTCTGTCTCTACCCATGTTCCCATGTTACGTGCAACTCTCTCACATAGTGTTGAAAAAAAATTATTTTTAACATTTATTTAGTTTTGAGAGACGGAGAGAGATTGAGCCCCAGTTGGGGAGGGGCAGAGAGAGAGGGAGACACAGAACCCGAAGCGGGCTCCAGGCTCCGAGCCGTCAGCACAGAGCCCGACGTGGGGCTCGAACCCACGAACTGTGTGAGATCATGACCTGAGTTGAAGTTGGACGCTTAACCGACAGAGCCACCCCCCAGGCACCCCTCCCCCTCCTTTTTTTGAAGGGGGGAGTGCCAGGATTCATTTATTAGTTGTCAATATTGTGTAGAATGTTACCAAAACTCTGGATTAGAGAACAAAAACTCGGGGCGCCTGGGTGGCTCAGTCGGTTAGGCGTCCGACTTCAGCTCGGGTCATGATCACACGGTTCGTGAGTTCGAGCCCCGCGTCGGGCTCTGGGCTGACGGCTTGGAGCCTGGAGCCTGCTTCGGAGTCTATGTCTCCTCTCCCTCTCTGCCCCTTCCCTGCTCGCACTGTCTGTCTCAAAAATATATGAAGAAAGTTAAAAAAAAACCCAAAACTTAAAGTTTTTATGAATCAGAACTTCGTTTTTCCAAGTTTCCTTCTAGACATCATTTATAGACGTAAAGATACTGATATGTATATAGAGAGACAGATATGGGTGTATATATAATATCTATATAAGAATATATAACATTTCAGCATATGAGTCGTATATAGATATAATTTATATTTTTATTTATTCTCCATTTAATATCATAAGCAGTTTCCACTTTTGTACGCGAAAACATCCAAGTTTCATAATTAGAATTGTAGTGGCTATGTATCATTCTAATGCTATTGTATACTTAATTAATTCTTTAATATTTGATCTATAGGCTATTACCGGTTTCTGATTACTTACTTATATAAACAATACTGCAGCGAACTCATTACTTTAATAGCTGTTTGGTGTGTGGGGGGGTGGGGATCGTTTCTCCCAGCTAAATTCCCAGAAAGAGAATATGAGGTCAAAGCATACGTGGTTTACGGTTCTCGATTAAGCTTCGGTCACTTACAAGACTAACGGTCTTTAACAGAAGTAAATACACTCTTGTTGGCGATTTCTGCACATCGCATCCAGTTAGCAGAGAACTTCAGAGGGATCGTTTGGGGCAGCTCCAGCTTTGAGGCTGTCGCAGGGCTATCCACAGCGGTCACCACTAACCGCGTAAGAGGGATTTATGGAGATTTGTTGCCCCAGAAGGGGAGTCAGGAGGTTCCGGCCAACATTGACTGGAACCTCGAAGTAAACTTCTCCCAGCAGGTGGAAAGTATGGTTCATTACAAAATACTGGCCGGGAGCAGAATCGCTGTTTGGCAGTGGTTATCTGAAGAGTTCTAGAGGAAACAATTATACAGTACCTTCAGTGACTCACTAAAATGTTTAGAAACTCAGAGAGTTCTTACAAGATGCCGCATTACGTAGAATTGACCAGTAAATTTTTTTTCCCCCCGCTGAGGTTTCGGGGATGTTTAAAAACGGATACTAGAAGATAACATTCCTCTTGAAGTTAGGTATTGGGTAGGTCCTATTTAGAAACCGAGGGAGGGACTTAATTTCCTACAAGGCAGCTTTGTAGCGCTATGTTAAGAACATGTTTTTATGAGCGATTACAGCAAAGAGACAGAAGGAAAGCGAAAAATGAAAGGAACGTACGTATGTGATCATGTAATTACAAATCTATCTCTGATCCCTTCGGTCCTGTTGAGATGTAGCTTTGGGTACTCTGTTAAGAGATTTTTAGATTTCGTGGCCTGGGAGAGGAGCATCGTTCCCAATAAGAGTTCCTCCTTCCTGGGGTTACCTCTTTTATTTAAATAAATCCCATGGGGTGCCTGGGTGGTGCAGTCAGTTAAGCGTCCGACTTCAGCGAGGTCACGATCTCCCGGTCTGCGAGTTCGAGCCCCGCGTCAGGCTCTGGGCTGATGGCTCAGAGCCTGGAGCCTGTTTCCGATTCTGTGTCTCCCTCTCTCTCTGCCCCTCCCCCGTTCATGCTCTGTCTCTCTCCGTCCCAAAAATAAATAAACGTTGAAAAAAAAAATTAAATAAATCCCAAAGCGAGGAGCCCTAAAGAAGTTGTTGGTCTTTGGCAAGGTCATGCTGATACGATGCCCACTGGTAGCCCCTGGTCTAATAGATCTCTAGAAGGTGTGTTTTGTTTTGTTTTGGAAGAACACGTGATAGTCGCATTCTGTTCATCAAGGGCCTGTCACCACTGTGGTTCTGTCACCCGCAGAACCGTAGACAGTCTGTCCTGTCATTTATGGGGTAGCATAGCTAGTTATCAGGGCACTGAAATTCTGTTCTCACTGAAATTCAGATTCCATAGATCTGAAGTGCAACTCTGGGTTCTGGGTTTCTCCCTCGGGAGCTGGAATGACACCTTCTTTTTCTTCTGAGACCGGGAATTACTTGACTGATGTTTTGTGTCCCAACGGACTCTCCTCTGTCCAGGCACCTGCTTGTCACCTCCCGCCATGTGCCCAATGCAGCATCGCCCCCCCACCCCGACCAGTGCGCCAAGGAAAGAGGGGGTTCTGGAGCCCAGCAGCACTGGGAGTGATGCCCCAGGGCTGTGGGAGGCAGGGGCCCATGTAGCCCATCCAGAAAGAAACTTTGGATCCCCGAAACTCCTTGTTATCACACCCCATTCCAATCCGCATTTCCTCCAGTCAGTCAGTGGCACTCCTTTTTAACCTGGTTGTTCTGGCCACCTTTGCACCCCATCTTCTGTATAGTATCAGGTCCTGTGATCGGCTCTATCTTCAGTAAATGTCCTCAATCCAAACACTTCTCAACCCTCGTCCAGTCCCTCGTCGTCTCACCCGGAGGAGTGCTCCAGGCTTCCCGACTCCCCCCTCGGCTTCCGGGCTCGCCCCGTGGTCCGTGGCACAGCTCCCCATCTCCACCTGTACCCCCGGTCCCTCTGCTGCACCTGCCACATTCGGAACATTCTCCACACGCCAGGGAGTCCGTGCAACCTTGTGGTGGCACAGAGCAGACCACGCACGTCCTGGTGGCTTTCCCTCACGCTAATGTGGCTTTGGAAGCTGTCCTTGGTCCAGCCGTCGCCTGCTTCGGCCTTATCCGTCATCTCCGTCTGGTCACATTGGTATCAGCTGTTCCGTGAGCACACCCAGCCCTCTCCCACCTCAGGGCATCTCCATTGCTGTTCCCGCTGCTCGCAAGGGTGTTTCCCCGGACCTCTGCAAGTCCGCTCCTACACTTTGTTCAAGAAACCTCATCCAGGGGCGCCTGGGTCGCTCAGTCGGTTAAGCGTCCGTCTTCGGCTCAGGTCATGATCTCACGGTTCGTGGGTTCGAGCCCCGCGTCGGGCTCTGTGCTGACCATTCAGAGCCTGGAGGCTGCTTCGGATTCTGTGTCTCCCTCTCTCTCTGCCCCTCCCCTGCTCACTCTCTGTGTGTCTCTCTCAAAAATAAATAAACATTAAAAAAAAAAAAAGAGAAACATCATCCAGACCTCTCTATCTAAAATGCCGCTGTGCCCACACCCCCACCTCGTCCCCTTTTCTCTTCCTCTGGGTTCACTAGTTTTCACGAGGACAGCAGCACCCTGCGCATCTGGGCATGCAGTGTGGACTGAATGACTGAATCCCACTGTAAGAGCTTTTAGCCTTTTCAGGGAAGGATCACTGCCCCTAAAGTCCCACCCCTGGTCACCCTGGCCCTGTATTGGGCGATCCTCCTTGTCTGGGTCTGGAAGTAACAGAGGTATACCCCGGGAAGAGGTCAAGGGAGGGCCGTGTCTCATCGGCTGCTTAAGATCATCCTGAGAGTTAATCAGGGGGCACCTGGCTGGCCCAGCCCATAGAGCATGTTGTTGATTTCGGGGCTGTGAGTTCAAGCCTCACGTTGGACGTGGAACTTACTTAAAAAAAAAAAGTTAAGGGGCGCCTGGGTGGCGCAGTCGGTTAAGCGTCCGACTTCAGCCAGGTCACGATCTGTGATCCGTGAGTTGACTACAGCGTCAGGCTCTGAGCTGATGGCTCGAGCCTGTTTCTTCTGATTCTGTGTCTCCCTCTCTCTGCCCTCCCGTTCTGCTCATGCTCTGTCTCTCTGTCCCAAAATAAATAAAAACGTTGAAAAAAAAATTAAAAAAAAAAAAAGTTAATCGGATTCTTCAGCACAATTAGGATTTTAAGGAACACGAAAGAAAGAGTTGTCCTGAAGAATAGGTAAAAAAAGCCTTCTGGAGTGCAGGTACCTTGTGCACGAGGAGCATTCTGGGTAGCAAAAGCCAGCATGAGAATGACAGGAACAGCGGGGTGAAGGCACATGGGGAGAAGGAGTGAAGGGAACTTGGCCGCAGGACGGTGAGTGGGGTCCCCTGCCCGGTGCCCAGATGGCCTGGGGGTGGAGGATGGGGGGAGTTAAGCAGCTAAGCATGATGCTGGGAGGCAGGTGCTTTAGGAACTTGAAACAAATTCACTGAGAAGGTTATTTGTATTATAAATGTGTCGGGGGAAATAGACCTTCCCGAATCATTCCTCTTTAATCATCTGACCATTCTGCATAAATCAGAATGCAACTCCCATCACATCCCAAACGCTCCCAGGTTTGTGGCTTGGGATTGAAGTGAGGGGGTGAAGGGCTCCCTCGGGCAGGGCCGAAGGTGGTTGAGTTTCCCCCGCAGCCCGCATCCACGGCTCGCCTTGGCCTCACGGATTCGTAGCTGTGTTCATTAATCCCGAGTCGGGCTTCGAAGCTGTTAGCGTTCAGACCCACCACGCTGTGGGTTTTGAGGAAATTATAATATTTGTCCCAGGCATATTTGCTGCAAGCTGCTTTTTTTCGTTGGCCTTTTCAAGTCTTTGTATTCCTTTGTTTTCATCTGTGGAATCTGAGTTTTATTTAAAATTCCAGATGGTTGACTGTCCTCAATTGAGTGTTTATGCTTTTTTTTTCCCCCTTTTTTTTTTTTTTT